GGGCGGCGCTGGGGGGTGCGCTGCTGGCACTGGAGCGGGCGCTGGCTGAGCAGCAGCAGCAGCGGGGCGCCTGCGGGCTCTGTGCCCCCTGCATCTTCCCCCCCTGCGCCAACTTCACCCGCCGCTGCCCACGTAAGTCATGGCCCCATGGCCCCCACTGCCCCATCCCCAGGAGAACATAGCCAAAGAGATCCCAGGGTCCCCACCCAAACACTGCCCAGGGTTCCTACGCAAATGCTGCCAGAGGTCCCTATCCATGCCCAGGAGACCCTACCCAAACACAGACCCATGCCCGGAGACGCTGCCTAAATACTTCTTTGCTTCCTTACTAAAGCACTGCCTCATCCTCTCGAAACCCTACCAAAATGACAATCCACCACCTGACCCAAACAGTACCCCCTCCACTATAGGCTTTACCAAACAGTGCCCAGACTCTCAAAACATATCCCTAGCTGCTAGAGACCCTACCAAAACACCACCCCCCAGAGAGCCTGCCCTGCCCAAGCAGTTTCCTATCTTCTCTAGATCCTACCCAAACATCACCTGAACCCCTATCCAAAACATAGCCTGATCCCTTGTCTCGTTCCCAGAGATCCCCCCAAAAAAACATATCCCAGGAGATATGTTTTTGCACCTGGGAGCGCCCAGGAGACCCTACCAAAACATGCCAACATCGCAGCCTCATCATCCCCCCTTCCCACCCACCCCAAAGTGGATCCCAGGGTGGCCTGGGTGAAGGTGGGCAGGGAGGACATGGGGATGCCCACAGCCCTGCTATCCTTGCAGCGCCAGCCGTGCCCCCCGCCGTGCCCCCCAGCTGCCAGGCCCTGCTGGATGCCCAGGCGCTGCCCGAGCTGCCCCAGCGCAACTGGGCACTGAGCCAGGCCTGTGCCCCCTACCAGCGCCTGTGCCCACCCGAGGGGGCCCAGCACGCCTGCGCCCTGCTCAGCGCCCGGCTCTGCCGCCACCGCCTCCAGGAGTGCCGTGAGTGGACACCTGCATCACCCCTTGCTCCTCCCAGAGAGGGGAGACCCTACAATAACAAACGGGACATCCCCAAGGGACGTCTGGGATTGCCTGGAGAGGATATGGGGCGTTGAGGATGACAGGAGGTGCTGGGGTGGGGTGGGGAGACCAGGGAGGTGGGGGTATGGTAGGGGGATGGAGGGTCTCTGGTGGGGAGATGGAGGGGCATGGATGGATCTGGGGTAAGATGTGAAGATTTGGGAGACGGAGGCATTGGGACGGATGGAGCAGACAGGGGGGATGGGGCATTGAGGGGTGATTGAGAATCTGGGGTGGGAGTGTGGGGGAACGGGGCAAGGGGGGTGATAGATTGGGGACACTGAGGGTGTCCCCAAGACACCCTGAGATTGGGGTGACAAGGGCAGCTGGGGTGGCACAGGGGTGCTTGTTCAGGATGATGGGGATCTGGTGGGCACTGAGGGGAGCCAGGGGGAATTGGGGACAGCAGGGATATGGTGGTGACATCGCAGGGGGGTGGGGG